AAAAAAAAAAAAAAAGGAAAGGAAAGGAAAGGAAAGGAAGAAAGGACGAAAGAAAGACGAAAAATAGCCTAATATATATAACATTTACTACTTACTACATGTGGCATAATTTTCGCATTTCTCGGCTTACAAACACAATCATGGGATTTGATTAATCCAACCACTTTACGCCAAATGTAGCCTTCATTTCGTCCACTCAATAATGTTCAAAGTCGTCCGTCTATAATCATTAAGAATGTGCAGCCATTTGCTCTGAAAATGTAATACCTAACTCAGTAATATCTATATTTTTGCTACAGCAGGTGAAAGCGCATAAATTCAATTTACAAGATCCTGTTTGCGTTTTTAGTTATCAAGGTGGACCTAGTTACAGCCATAGTGTTAAAATAGGTTAAATTTAAGGATAAAAACAATATGCAAACAACTACAAAACCTTTTAGTGGAATATTAAACAGATCTTCCGCCAAATCGATGAACTTTTTCAAAATAGACACATACATGACCTAACCTTAATCAAGCTAAAATCGATAATATAAAACAGTCCAAATACGAAGGATGAGTACATGTATAATTCCACAGCTGACGATGTAATAACCTTGGGGCAACGCAGTGAGCAGCTCATTAAACTTTCAAAAATGCGTCCTTTTTTTTCTAGATTCGGTATTAATTTTTTGTTTAATTACCAGGAATAAGTATATGGTTCGTTGCTAAATAACATGCGGGTTAACACGTATATGGAGCGTATATTTTCATTTTGGTACCACTTTTATGAAAAATATTTAAAAATAAATAAATTAAAATAACTTCTCAGAATCCCAAAAAAATATTGTCCAACATTGTCTCCCTATTTCGATTGATATTTAACGTCTTTTAATAATAGCATTCCTTTAATCTTTATGGTAAAAATCCAAAAGTAACGGCCGACGAATGCGAAATGCAAAAAGAAATGGTTAGGTGATAAGATTAGAGATGGTGAACGATAGCAAGTAAATTTCATAACTGGTTGACTTGCTCGCCATTAGAATTAAACCTGCTAGACTAAAGACTAAAGTCTCCTCACACGTCTGATTCCTTTCTTCAAGAATAAACTTTTGGAGAGCTGTCTATTACATTTTCATAAGGGCGGAGCGTTCATTGACATAGGCGCGCGCAGGATTCCAGATAGTTGACGTTAACTTCCTGTATAGAGGAAAGTTTTATAGTGCATTATTTTAGGATCTTTATGAATCTAATTTTCTCTAGCCATTTTTGCTTACTCCTCGTCGAAGTGTGTTTCTCTATCATGATAAATAGAGATTACTCCACGGAAAGTGCCACGAACGATTTTTATTCACGAGTTGCGCAGCACCAAAAAACGAACGAGTGAGCGCAGCGAACGAGTGAGTTTTTTGGTGCGTAGCAACGAGTGAATAAAAATCGTTCAGGCACTTTCCGTGGTGTAATTTTTTTATTTCA